CAAGTTTGTTTGTTTGACATACTTCATAAAAAAAGGCATTTCAAATAGCTTTACAAGATAAACACATCACACAATAACCAATTACAAAACATTAAGCAACAAAAAGGACATGCCATCATCAAAATCCGCAAGATTAATCATAATTCTTGAATGATGCATCAATCATTAGATTAATCAATGTTCAAGTTATTCAAGTTATTAATCAAAGAAAACTTATCGTTCCTTTGTGCTGAGCTTCTCAGTTCTTTCCTGAGTTCTGGCTTTTGTGCATTTGGTTTAGACTCTGATTCTGGTCTTATTCCTCGTTGTAACTAGAAGAATAATTTTCTTGTTCTGTTCACTTGCCTTTGCGTTCATTCTGTCTTTATTAGCAGAGGTGGATAGAGGAGCCAAAGGTTGTACTCAATTAAGAATTGCATTAAATAATTTGTATTTATTTATTTTTCCCATTGAAGAGAAAGAATAAAAACATATTTGGACCAAAGATGACTCAAGTACTGAGTAACTGAACATGGCATTTGATTTTATTTGTTCAAAATTATGTAATCAGGCAACACAATATAAAGTTTTGTGCAAACTCAGGTAATAAAAAGAATACGTAAAAATCATCAACATTGTTACAAATCTGAAAATATGAGCAGAAGATACAAACATTTCCAATCAATTTTTTTCAGAATGTAAAGCTTCTGAAGCAAACACATGCAGTAAGTAAATTACATATATTACATACATTGCATCCACTCGACCCTCAAATTTAACAGCAGGCTCAACAGATAGAAAATTACATTAGAAAAACAAAGCACGTTTAATCCCCGAACTCATCTGTGGTGTTTTCATCCATCCTCAGCTTTCAGCTAGACTTTTTTTCTTATTCTTATACATTGAATCTGGAGCCAAAAGCATACTCAGATCACATTTCTGATGCCTAAGATCTTAAACCAGATTCTTACACAATCCCTATTAGAGCCCCTCACTTCCTGAATAATTTACAACTATCCCACTGCTAAAAAAAGGCTCCTATCAGTGGTGGTGACACCAGTCATCACCAAGTGCTTTGAGAAACAGGCTCGGCAGCTCTCCCACTAGTCTGTGCACACAACAAAATGAGCACAGGTTGTGCTATACACACTTTTTTTTTCTTTTTTTTTAACCACGCTGCACCCTCTGGAATAAATGACAACAAAAGAAAGGGGGGAAAAAACAGGCGAGGCTACCCTTTGTGAATATTAGCTCAGCAATTATAATAATTATCCTAAATGATTTGATCAGGAAATTACTGAACTTGAATTTCTCAGTCATTATCCGCCACTGGATTTTGAACTTTCTGACTTCTCTCAGCAGCTATCAGTCTAAACATTTGTCTGCATATGGATAATAAGATGCAATCCCAATGGTGACTTCCACTGCACATAAGCTAATGGCTTGAAAAATAGGGCCTCAAGAGATTCTGCAGATCACTCAGTAGCTCATTTTATCCTCAAATGTCCTTTGTCAACAGTGTGCATTTGGAAAAAATGTTGTCCAATGGCCTAACAACAACTTCTATGTCATAATTGCATGTTATTTTGATGGTGCACTGTTTAGGGGACTGCAAAGGCAATAAGTTCGTCATACATTCCTCAGCCTTAGCAGACCTCATTAATGCAAAGCAGAATCCCAAAAGAAACAAGTGTCTGCAGAGTGTCTTTGTCAGCTTGATTTACTCAAAGTGGCCATGCACATGCATTATGAGTTCAAAACAACTGATTGAGTGCAGGTGGCAGCAATAGAACTGCTTTAATGGGGTTCACAGGCTGCATGTAAGAGTAGTAGAGATGTAGATCAAATCTTGAGAACTAAGAAGTAAACCCAGTCCACATTTTAATCCTGGAGCCGTCCTCGTGAGGTTTATTGTGAGGGACATGTCAGCACAGCTGCAGTCCTTTCATGTGATACTTTTGGATGCTGACTCCTGCATAAATAAAATAAAAAAAATAATTTAAGAATCTAATTTTTGATTAAAAAATATCCAATGTCTTGGATTCTATCCATCCAATCATCCAAACGACAGGCCCCAGGATGGGGCTGGGGCCCAAATCCTGCTATGATTTCATATCTGCTATTTTTCTGTTTTTCTTCTCTGCACCTTCCTCGTTAATTGTGCCCTCCCAGCACTTATTTGCATTGTACTTTGCCTCTTTCAGATTCCCAATAAAGCAGCTTTTCTTCAACTTCCTGCCTCTTGAGGTGACATAACCCTCCGAGCAAGGCTTTGAAGAATCGCTTCCTCATGGTTAAACAAAGCTTTCCTTTTTTTTTTTTTTCTTTCAGATAATTGATATTCACGTTTAAACTCAGAAACGCTGTGAAGGATGCATATATAGAATGACATGTTTCCAAAACGGAAAGCAAATTAACTCAGCTTTTCTGGAAACCTTGCTTATCAACTGCCTGCTTAATTATTTTCTAAACCATTATTCAGCTCGTGCATCTGTAATCTCTTTACTGCTTAGAGTCGGACAATAGACCTACTCTTGGCTGCAGTGATGGGAGATGCCATTTTGTAACCCTCGTGTCCAGAAATTGCACACTTCACTGATGCAGTAATGATTTACCAGGAAGCTTTAAACTGAGTGCTTTCTTGGATCCATCGTCTGTTTCTTTAATTGCAGTATAATGCTAGTCAAGTGAAGGGATCAGGGATCAGTGGTAATGTGGCTGCAGTAAAAAGGTTTCCAGAAACGCGTACAAACATTATAGTAAATCCACCTGCAGAAACAAGTGGTCATCTGTACCACTTTAATCAAACCTCACTCTCTCATTTTACAGTATTGTAATATGAGGTATACTGTTGATATTGTATATTCCTTTTTCACCATGAAAGTCCTTTGGGCCACTTGTTTGGTTGGAACCAAAAACTGACTTTATTTTCTTCTTTTGGTGAAGTTTGCATTTACATTGTGCTTTTTGTTTTTACGATTACAATGCAATCATTACGTGCCGTAGTAGCCTTAGCAACACAGAGGGGCTTGTAGTTACCATGACGGCCAGCAACAGTGGCTTGAGAAGTCCAAAAAGAAATTTTTCTGTAGCTGGTTCAGATCAAGGTCAGTCTGTATTCAAAGCAGCAGCAAATTGCACCAGAGTTAATTTGGAAGCGAAGAGTTAATTAGTTGCTTGGTCAACACCAGTGTTCGCTTCAGTGTATTCACCACTGCATAAAAAGTCTGGACCAACAGAGGAAGCGAACTCTGGTCCTTTTAAACCAAATGTGTCAGGTGTAAATACGCCCTAAAAAGCTGAGTTAGTATTGAAATTGATATGAGGCAAGTCACAACTTACCTCATATCTATTTGCCATTTTTGCCCAGTCTCTGTCTTGCTGTTGAAACATGAACTGAACTCTACTGGCTTATATTTCTTTAGATGTTCTGAGATGAGTCATGGAGGCACTCTTGATCAACTTTTTGAAGGCCTTTCACTCCTGTTCTTCGTTTTCTCCTTTTGTGGATAATGACTCTTACTGTGGTTCACTGGCATGCCAACATCTTAGAAAAGGCTTTTAAACCTTTCCAGACTGATGGATGTCAATTACCATTTCTCCACTTTTATTTAATTTTATTAGATCGGAGGACAATTTGTTGGTTTTAGGAGCTTTTTCAGTCATTTTGAGTCAAGTTTTGATTCTACTAGTCTGGCAGCAATCGGGCTTGAAGGTCACTTTTCCTCATTGATAAATAAATAGCATAAATTGAAAACCGCATTTCGTCTTTACTCTGGTTATCTTCGTTCATAGCGGTGAGGACATATGTTAATGTTCTAGGATCCTGCCTTATTCTGACTCGGTTACTTTGCAATAGAAAAGGTTTGACTCAAAATGTCAGCATGTCATTAACATTACTGTTTGGTTTGAGATCATCACATCTACTCATCTAGTATTTCAGAAATCTATGCGAGTAGATCTTCAGAAATAGATACTTTACTATTCAGGGTGTGATGTCTGATTAATCATCAACTTCAAAACCTCCGGGTTACTTACATATAAATTTAAAAGACATGAAATTACCTTCTATTCCACCACCCACTCAAAGATCCTCAAGTTTAAGGTCAAGTACATTTAGCAATTCCTTTGTGAGCACAGTCTCTGCAAATGTCCGGAGGGAGGGACCTGCGCACAATCAATAAAACGCTTTACTGCCAAGCGTAATTCCTCTAAATCAGAGTCTGCTGAGTCTATGATGACCAGAGTCTACTGACAGCAGTGAATCTGAATGACTGTAACTCAGACTTCAAGCCAAATTAACATAAAGTGCTAATTTCTTAAAAGGAGCAAACTATATAAAGATGACTCAAACTGACCAAAAACGGCTTCCTAACACAGGTTTGGTAGTAAGCTTAGGAAAATATTGAATCATCCTTCAGATTAAACAGCCTTACAGAAAGATCTGGCAAGAAAAACACTTGCTTGTAAATATGCACAGACAATGTGAGGACCACCCACGAGTACCAAAATCCAAAAATTGCATATTTGTGATGGAGACTTCATAATTGCATTGGTGTTCAAAGTTTCTTGCAGTTCTACAACAAACTGAGATTTTTCCTTACTTTTCGTTTCTTGCCAGAGTCCGTCATTGTCCTGCTAGGTCAGGACTCTGTGGTTTCCTCTTGTGTTCCTAATTGGTTTGATTTCCTCTTGGTGTCCTGAAACATGTTGTGTGCATTTTAAACTCTGTTTTCCATTTACCACTGCCAGAAGAAAAATCATACAGGGTAAAAATTTAAATTGAAAACACTAACTGCTCTCAAAAGACAAATTAAGTCATTTGTTATCATTAACTCAAGTCTCATTATGTTACCTAGCTTGTGAGGATAGTCTATGGCTCCTGGAGCTTTAATCATCCTCCATCTGAACTTTCTGTCTTGTACATCTTGTTTGTGTTTTGTGTTGGTCAGTCATCCTGTAGTTTCTACATTTTCTATTCAGTCACTCTAGTGTTTGTTGGACTCTTCAGCACCTTTAGATTTTTGTTTCAGTTAAGGTTTTGTGCCATCTATTCTTCTTATTTTTCTATTTTTGTTTTATTTTTGTTGTTCTACCAACACCTATATATATATATATATATACACACACCAGCTTTGTTTCTAAAATATGTTTAATGATCCCTGCAGTGTTGCCTGATTTCATATTAAAAATGTCTCAAAAATGTGATCCGACTTAACAAATTTGTCTCTTGCCAGTCCCCACGCGCTCTTCGTGTTGTACTTGTTGTGACTCACTGCTGTTTAGTTTCCAGTTTCAACAGAACTTTATGAGTAAAGGATATATTTTTACTTTTTTTAGAATCTGAGCTCTGATGGTGTTGTACCCTGAGCATATCGAATTCTTCTGACGTTGATCCTGGCAAAGTACACATCATGATCTGTTACAAATGAATACGTTGTTGTCATAGACCATGAATCATTTGATAATTTTTGACATTTTCAAGGATAAAACACTGCTTAACTAGTGGAAACCACCAAACTTGGAATATGACTTCAGTTTATTGTAATGCTTCAAATAAGTAGCTCTTGCATGACAAAGTTTTTGTAAATAAGCAGACTGAAACATTGAAATGTCTAAGGAACAAAACTAAAACTATTAGTCATGTTTTAAAGTTGTTTAGAAGCTCTGTTTTCATGAGATGCAGGTAAGTATATCGATTCATCAGAGCTTGATAGAAGCATTTATAAAAAAGTTCTCCCTCTAAAAATGCCAGTTAAATCAAGAGCAACAATGAAATACATAGATAAAATCCACATAATTTCAATCTCAGAATCATAAGTAGGAGAATAACAGCAAGAGAAGTGATTTGCTGAAAGAAGAAAGAGAATGTCAGAGAAACTGCGATGCCAGCGCAATGCAAGTGTTGAAGGGATTTCTGTGTTGTGGGGCATTTAAAGACAAGACGCTGTCGTTTGCTGGAGAAAATCAAAAAGGATAAAGCAGATAGACAGAGCCTTTGCTTAAAGATGCCTTTGTTTGAGTTTTCTATGACAAAGCTTCCTGTCGTGTCTGTACAAAAAGAAATAAGAAGCCTTTAAAAGAAAACAAAAGACAACTCCAAAGGATCTATTTATAGGAATGGGAGAATTCTTCTCACATGATGACAAAAATCCAACTCCACCAACTTCTGATGCATGCATTCAAAAAAACATTTCTATAATATATAGCCTGCTATATAATGTGCACGTGTTTAGAGCTGCAAATCCTGTGCTGCTCTAAAAGGGATAACTATCTACATATGTTGAGGATAAAGTTTGGGTTTTCTTTGTTAGACAAGAGAATGACCTTCAGGTCAGTTAGAAAAAAAGTCACTCTCTGTTCTACAATTCAGAGTATCTGATTGGGCGAATGACTGGGGAGGCAATTAATTGGCTTTATTCATGTGTTGCATGACATGGAAATCGGAAAGAGTGATTAGGAGCAAAGGTTCTCCCCACCAGAACCCACAGGGAGTTAAACTAATAGTATCTGTGCTTGAATTGTGTTAATAATTGTCTTACGCAACATTATTCAGCTTTTACTCTTGTTTCCTGATTTCGAAGTCGCTAAAAAAAGTTGCCGAATGGTTGATGTGGTCATCAATATTTATTTGTGTTAGGTATTAGGGTTGTCTCAGTAGTAAAATTTCATGTAAACAATGTTTTCCAATGGGTATCCTGCAGGGGGCCATCAGCTGAGAGGAACAACTAAACGTTCCTGCCATTAACTTTTTACTTTTCATTAACAAAGAAATTGCTCCTACATCAACCCTTCTGTTACTTTTATACGTTTCCAAACTTCCCAGTTGGCGCAATATAAATGAGCTTAATTGAATTGAATTAAAGTTCATTTCATCTGAATTTGACCTTTCTATAGAGTTTTAAACTGTGCTTAAAAAGAAGATATTTAAATTTTTATATATATTTTGAAATATCCTTTCTAAAATTAACCAATATCTACTTCTTACTAATTAAAATAAAAATGCTGACTCCAAGTACCTACAAAGACGATAAACATAACTAAAACTACACATCACTTGTGGCCTGGTGGTCACGACTGAGGCTTTTTATGGGACGGGAGCTGATTACAACTCTAAAACTGATGAAGCTTCTTCTGTTTAATTCTCCAAAGTCATGCAGAAGATAAGTCTTTTAATTGTCTAATTAGGAGTTTTATTGGCCAACAGTGATTTTGAAGAAAGAAAAATTTGGGTGAGCAAGTCAAATAAGTTGCTCGAGGTTTAGCTGCCGAACATGCAAACTTTACACACCGAGAATCTATTTTATACCTGCTGCAGGTGTGTTTTGTTGTTCGAGTTCTTATATATAATGGAGGAAATATTAAAGCCTATACCCAACTGTTTTGTCCAGTGACTAAAAAATATATTACTTCTATTTTGTGTATTTCTAGCATTATTTCTAGCACTCAAAATGCATAGATATATATTTTTTTGTTTGTTTGTGATGACATGCCGATGCTGCAGTGGTAGATATCTAATAATAGGCCCCACATTTTTCTAACCTTCTTCTTAATGCCCTCCTCACTGGATTTCATATTGCTTCGGCTGTGACTCGGAAACCTTTCAAAGTCCAGACAATTGTTTGTTTTCCCTCTTTGTTGAATCTGCTTCTTTCTTCCTTCCTACAACGTGAGTGAATTTTGCTCCAAGTTGAGGAGAGCATGCCTAGAATGCTACCTGCTCCATTATTCATGCCTTAAGAACATATATTCAACTTTAAGCGCTGCATTCATCTTCATCATGGAAACACTTTCACAGAACGCTTACCTCATACCTCACACATATCTTAAAATATAGAGACCTTGACAATAATAAGTGTTTAGCTATTCATTTATGGGGAAAAGAACAAAGCACAAGAAGCTCACAATGAAAATGTTTGAAAAACAAATCAATAAACGTAGGCCCTTATTGCGTTTATTTCATTTCAACATACAGAAAAAAATCTTTCAAACAGGTTTTTTTGTTTTGTTTTTTTTAATGAAACGCGCAGAAATTTTCCAAAAGTAAACTCTGGTATTTCCAGGCTCAGCAACAAGATTGAGGGAGAGGAAAAAGGGGCCCGCCCCGACTCTTCCTGAGATAATTAAAAAAAACAGACGCCTCAGCCCCACCAGTCCATAAACATTGCAAGCCGTGCACACCGTGCTGCATTAACATGCAAATTGGAGCAAGTGCTGTGATCAGGGCACCTCACACATCCAGTTATTAAATTAATTTTCCCCAAAACAAGCAGCAGGAGCTGCTGAGGTAGTCAATAGATTTTTCCCTCTGTCTGTGCATATTAATAGGTCTTTATCAATTTTGAATTCATCACAGCAAGGGAGACGGAGGTGGGGGGGAGGAGAGTAGGGGGTGTAGTGGGCGGGGTGCTTGATGACACCGGCTCCCCTGTGGCAGGCCACCCTGATCCGCAGTCACAGGGTCATCCATCACCACAGCAGCGCCGGGACGCAGGGGAGCCAGGATCTTTATATCACCCCTCTGCCTCGCTGTCGCAATGTGTCTGAAGCTTCACACCGAGACGTTATGATTGAGTTTCGCAGTGAAGGCAACAGGTGATGTCACACAGCAGCCCGGTGCTGCAGTCTCAGAGGAGCAGCTCTGTCACAGCACTAAATTTCCTGATAGCGGCAGGCGGGTCCGCGGTGTGTGTTTTATGCGCAGCTCGCTGTATATGAGAGGACACTGACGCACACTCAAGAGGAAAGGAGGTCTCAGAACAGGGACGCACTGCTAAAGAAAATGAAAAAAGACAGGCTGCTGCTGTAGTTTGTTGTTTTTTCTGGCACGTACGTGTAAAGGAGACACTCGCAGAAACGCTTCCATCAAAACACTTTTCTTCAAAATGACAACAATTTTTTTTATTTTTTTTTCCTATCAATTAAATAAGCAAAGAGGAGAACAGTCAAAACAAAGGTGTCCTCTGGAGAGATGAGCGAGAACACCTCACTTGTTTACTTATTTGCTTCCTTTTGTTTTGGATCCAAAATAACCTTGGGCACAGACTCAAAAACAGGGGACATTAGTAAACCAGCTAGCATCATCATAGCAATTACTTGGAAATCGAAGGGCCACAGGGAGCAATTATGAGTTTTATGTTTACAATCGAGCATGGAAGAGGAATGGAGGAAAAAAAGATGAGGAACGGGGCAGTGGAGAAAATGAGCCGCAGGCAAGTTGGAGGAAGTAGACAGAGTGTTGGATAAGGAGACAATAAGAGAGCAGAAGCAGGAGATGAACAGACCAACAGTCAGGTGTGTGAAAAGATGAGAGGAGAGTGGGATAGAAGTGGCTTTGAAAGGCGGAGAAGAGGAGTCAAGCGTAATCAAGTGAACAACAGTGAGAAACCATGGTGGAGGAAAAAAAGAAAGAAAAAAAAACATAGCCCACGTCTGTATGCAAAAACGTTGAACTCTAATGCTTCGTTCTGGTTCTCTGAAGGCATCCGTTTAAAATGTCTTTATGTCCGTAACATTCCTGTTCAGACCGGGACATGAAGACGGAGACAAACTGACCTGGCAGCATGGCCGGACTGAGTCTGGGGCTCGGCTGATAAGAGGGAGGTGACAGAGTTCAGCGAGCTGACTGCATCGAGACACAACCGCTGGTCAATTCAATTTCCTTAAGGACACAGATGTCCAAACCGCAATCAAGACATGTCATATTACCGGGAGGCTCCTTTTGACCTTTTTCAAATCCCCAGCAGATGAAAGAAAGCAGTAGTAAGGTTGGCAAATGAGAGGAGGAAAAAAGAGAGAGAGAGAGGGAAACTAGTGAGAGACAAGTGTGATCACGGTTGAAAACTATACGGGCTGCTGCAGCAATGCAGAAAATCTTAATTTTCTGTCAGAGCCATTGTGTGGAGTGATTTAAGCCGAAGTTGATCTCTAGGGAGGGAAGATGAGAGAAAGCATATGATGGAATCAGTAAAGCTGTGGCGCTCAGACAAACCGGCTATCGCTACTGGGACGTCGGATTCAGTACAAGGGAAGAATCAGTATCTCTGCGGCTCTTCAATTATTCATATCAGTCTGTTCTTGACTTTCACATAAGACGAGGAGCGGTATACATACAGGCCACACAAAAGATCAAACACAGCCACAAGTGCAAAGGAAAACTCCAAAATATAGACACCAAAACGCCTTCTGACGCAGGGGGGGGAGATACGACAGAGTAAACAACATGAGAATCAAAGCTGCGGATGAAGATGTAAAGATGTTCAACTGTAGGCAAAAAAATAAATAAATTCTCTGCTCTGAGTTGTTTGAAGACAGTAATCCCCTACTGACGGCCACATTAGTTGCTCAAAAGCTCGAAATTCAAATTTGGTAAAGCATTCTTCAAAAACATCACCTAAAGTCATTGCAAACGATAAACAAACAAGCAGAAAATGACAGCCTCAGAGTGTGGAAAATGGAACTGGACTCTCCAATGAATGACTTGGAGTCCTGTGGCGTGACCTTAAACAGACCATTCAACACTAAAACCCTCCAATGTGGTTGAATGAAAACAATGCATTAGCCAAAAATTCCTCTGAGCAAACAGAAATCACTTAATTTGAGTTATCACAAATGCTAAATAATGCTTGTTGCGATCCAGTTATGTGGTTTATTCTGAAATCTCTTTGTTCACAGGCTCGGTTCCTCTAATGATTCTTTAGATGAGCTTACCTTCTCGAGTGTTACGACCAGTCTAGGGGGGGCCAGGTCGCAACATGAAGGATCCATCCTCCTCTGATCTCAGCAACCGACATGCACAAAATTGAATAGTTGATAATTATTTATTTTAAAAAGATGTATTTGATAAAGATGTTACCACTGGAGTACTTGGCTTCAGAGTGAGCTATCGCCGAAAACAACAAACAAAAGGAAACTACCTAAATAGTAACAGAAACTTACCTAATTGAAAGCAAATAAACCAAAAGACAAAAACTTACCTTCCTAACTAAGAAAAACATGAGAAAACTAAGGAAACAAACGGCAGCTCACTCCTACACTCCAGAACTCAAACACAGACGAACAAAGGAAAGGGGTGTGGCCGGTGGAGATAAGTCGAGGATGGAACCCAGGAAGTTCGCTTCAGCAGCCTTTATATTCGTCACCTCCGGGAAGCAGCCAATTAGACGTTCCGTCGTCTTCTGGAAAACCAATCAGGGACGGGTACCTGCACACTCATGTTATTCTAATTAACCTTACGATGCCAGTCGTAACACAAGTCACGACTCAATTAATACAAAAAGTTTAGCAGCTGGGGGTGTAAAGCCGTTGTAAAACGACTCAGAATTTGGCTTCACAGAAGTGCTGACTAAATTAAACATCGGAGGTGCAGATCTTGCCAGCAGATTTTGATGCCATATGGCCTTCGCGTTTAAGAATTTCGATTTACTGTCAGCCAAGACTGAGCCAAAGCAGTCTCTGCTAAAGCCATTGGACAAAACAAGTCAGGAGACTTTGTCAGGATTTTAATAATCTACAGCAGGGTTGTCAAACTCAATTTCACCGAGGGCCACTTCAGCATATTGGCCCC